GACTTTTTCACCCCTCGGTCACGCCGTGAACTACTTTCCAAACGCCGGGCTACCCACCATCAAATCAATTTTTTACAGACACCTTTTATTTTTAGCTTCCCCCGAGCGATGCTTGTGGGAGGATCATTCATCACTTGCCATTGACATATATGCATAGCTCTGAGTGATTGAAAGGCACCCGGTACGATCAGGGGTATGCATCGTTCTCCCTGATGCACATAAAAAAATTCGGTAGAACCCCTACCTTTCATCTCATCAAAAGATATGCTATAATGAAAGTAAGATTATGTTGTGAAAAATTAAATCTACTGCAGCAGTTCAAGTAATACATCACCAAATCCTCATTTTTGTATGTCAGCGTAAAGGTTTTGTGAGATTACAGCGCAGTTGATCATATTCATGAAATTACTAATGTATGTTAATCACCCTTTGTACATTCGTTAGCACTAGTTTATCTTGAGGTGATGGATTTTCTTGACATGAGGTGTTTTGGAGCAGAGAGACAAATGTCTGCTGGCTGAGAACAGACTGCGCAGGTGGGAGTCGGCAGCTCAATCAGGAGATGAAGGTTTAATTGCGCGGAGGGGAGGCGGATATCACCGTAGGGCGACCTGCCGCTAAGCCGGCCCGGTGCTACGGGACCTGTCGGAAATGGCAAAGGTTTAAGGATAAAAACGTTTTGAACTAGATATAGAAGAAAAGTGTATTGCAGATTCGTGCCCAGAGGCTAATTGTTTCATTGTTCTTTTATATTTTGTAATTTGCAGAGTATAAAATAACTTAAGTCTACATGATAAAGGTGGCTGTCTAGAACTAGAACTATGTCTAAAACTATGTCTTCTGTAAACCATGGAAGACGTAATGTCCCACCTTTTCCAAAATTTGTGGGTAAACTAAACATAGGATACGATTCATTAATATGCTGATGAAGTTTGTGTTGGTCCGGGATTTTTTTTTCACCACATTTTAATGTTGCACTTTCTGTACAGTATCGAAAGGTAATTATGTTAGTAATATTTATCCATATGAGTTTTCTAGATGTTCCGACTCAAAATTTAACCTGTGATAAGAGTTCTACACATTACACATTACATACGATCATAGAATTGCAAAGAGCTTTTGATCTGAAATGATAAAGACGGATATTCGAGTGACAAAGATCTGTTCCGTTCACACAGAGTACTTTGGCTGCAAAACAATTACAATGTCGGGAATAGCGGCAGTGTTATGTTATGCCACTTTTCTATGATCGGATTAAAACTTTCCAAATAAGATATCCGTACATACAATACATTGCCAATTGCATTTATCGCCACGTAGACCTCCCCATTAGTTGTGATAGGTATGATTTAAATGAAGGCAATGCGTTTAAGAGCCAGTAATGCGTTGAGTTACTTCTCGGACTGATGGCTAAAAAATTCTAATCATTCTGTGAAAATTATACGCCACACGGGAGAGCATTGAGTGGGGTTTCCATCATGAATGTCTGAGTATTCATACTGTGCCACGAGCTGCCTGCTTTGTAACAGATGTTGTCTACAACAGATGTAGTTTGTAGATATTTCTAAAATGCATGACGAATGGTAACAAATACATGTAAAGAATTCAGAATTAGTTTTTGTACCAGCAATCCTAATCAGTTATGGATAGGTTGTCGGGGTATTCATAGCTTGGAGTCGTATTCAATCTTTGAAGAATCTTCCTTCACTGACATACATTTATCTAATATAAATTATATTACAAATACTTCTCGGCAATGCGTAATGTGGCCATGTGGTAGGATTTAAAATCATCAATGCACAGAGTACACAGTGTAATCATCGATGATCATTTCTGATTGCATTCTACATCTACAGTATATTACTCATAATTTGATGTAGTTTTATCTAGTTTGTTTTGGTTGGCTTGGACCCCAGGTCGTCCCTAACTTAATTACGACATCAATATTTTCATTTTGATTTCCATCCGTATTCCGGCTATGCATGGAATGACGAGGATTTGGGAGCTAAAGGGGACAGCAATCGGAAGTAAAGTCAATATGCATTTCATTCGTCGTTTTAAGCCTCGCCACTAAGGCGCCTTCGTCACAGCATGTGCTGCGTCCTATCATGTAGCGCACATGTTAGCGTATATAGGAGCCCTTAAACCATCATGACAAAAGACGTGCCTGCTTTGGTCAATATTTGAGCTCGTAGCATGGCCTCTATACATCAACATTCGTGTAGCTGGTTCAACTAGAGGGGAAAAGGTAATGGTAACTTATCTAGCTCATAAATTTATCTAGCTCATAAAGCTCACAGAAATTTCCTTGGGCATTGCCACAGTTTACAAATTATCTAATTCTAAGTAAGATCATTCATCCAGAATGACTTACTAGTGTGTTTTAAAAAGTTTACTAAGTAGCGAAATGTTTGGTGACTTTGTTGAAATTGTTTGGGCGTGAGATTACGCTCTTTACGCTTTTTTACGAAACTTTGTCGAACCGTGCCCATGTTATACCGCTTTATCAGCGCCGTAGCGAAAGAAGAAAAGCACCGCTTCAAGCAATTAACTCGTAGCGAAACTAGCAAAATGTTTAGTTACTTTCTTGAAATTGTTTGTGAGTGAGATTGCGCTTTTTGTTTTACAAAGCTGTCATGTTGTTGCAAACTTGGTCGAACCGTGCCCATGTTATACCGCCTTATCAGCACCGTAGCGAAAGAAGAAAAGCACCGCTTCAAGCAATTAACTCGTAGCGAATGTAGCAAAATGTTTAGTTACTTTCTTGAAATTGTTTGTGAGTGAGATTGCGCTTTTTGTTTTACAAAGCTGTCATGTTGTTGCCAACTTTGTCGAACCGTGCCCATGTTATACCGCCTTATCAGCGCCGTAGCGAAAGAAGAAAAGCACCGCTTCAAGCAATTAACTCCCATCTTCTCAACACACGAAGTCCCACAACTTTGCTAATAGCTCCAGCACAGTGTCGTAACTCCTCAGGGTAGACAGGGTGTGCAGGGATGAGATAAAGCTTTGACGGTAAGTCTTTCAAAATTTCAACTTCTCTTCCGCAGTCAATATGTTACCTACTTAACCCGTTCCTTGGAGCTGTCACCAGCGCTATCCTTGAGATGTCTAAGGAATATTCATTAGTTATGCAGCTCTGAGCTTGTAACGTTAACATTCTACACCATGTATCGCAATGTTCAGCCCGTATTTTCAGTTTGTAGTATTATCTACGGTACATGTTAAATATCCCGATGACATTGATAAATGACGACCCTTTATTCCATCCTGTTTATCGGGCTGTAGTGTCACAGGTCGCATAACAAGTTATGAATGAGTTTTTCATTCAGATGAGCAATTGATGAATTACAAAAAGGAATAGTCTGGTTGAAAATGCACGTATCTCAAAGGCATCCGATGCTATTTTAGAACAGCAAAACTGAAAATATTATGAATAAGGCAATCTTTATGATATTGACACATACTCTGCTTCACATTAGCACATTTCAATCAGTATTTCACACTTTGAGTATTTAAAAATGCAGAAACAAGCCCCAATATGAGTCCTTTATTTTAGGGGAGGTACCCCAAAAATTCCAGTGACCATTTTCCGTCATAATTTTTGGGTATATTTGCTGCGCTGCATAAGGCTCATTTTACATTGGAGTAGTGTGGTTTTAATTTGTATGGAGATAAGACACTAGAATATTGACTTAAAAATGGGTTTCCAGGCCCTAAAACTGTATTGGATGGCTTTAAACTTCGTGCGTAAAGAGGCCCTCTATACTATTTAGTCACTTCTCACCAAAGGTGGTGCAATCCACCAAGGCTGTTTTTTCAATACCCGCCATTTTGTTCATTATTGAGCCGCATGGAACATCTCTTCGTGATGTATGTTGCCCGCAAGATCAATGAGTGTTCACGCTAATAACAAAATCGTAAAAATGAAACAATTAAAGATAAATTAATAAAATGAAAACAAAATTAATAAACTGGAAACAAAATTAATGAACTGAAAACAAAATTAATAAACTAAAAGCAATTGCGTGCTGACAATATTAAATTCCATTTAATAATATTCTAAACATAGAAATGCCACTTTTTTAAAACACAAAAGGTAAAATCACTTTTTTACGGTCTGGGTCTGAGCACGTAATTTTCGAACAAAGGTCAGAGAGCGAAGCCTGTTAAAGTATAGTCATTGGGTCAGGACTTCCCGCGCATCAGGGATGATTTATTGACCCCCTTATATTGCGTGAGGGCCGTAATGAGCTCCTCGGCAGCGTTAATGCGTCGTGCCGGCAGCCCTCCCTGCGCTGTAACAGGTGTCACCGGGGTGGAGTCAGCACTGGGCCAGCAAAAATCACCCCAGCATATCGCCAGGCACCACACGGGGAATTTGAACGTGAAAATTACAATAATATTTTGCACGTTTGGCACTGAATCGATCTTGTGGCACACAAACGGCCACCTTTCTTCCCTCTTTCGTAACGATTATCGATATCGTATGATATACGGACAGATATTTTGCGTACGAGAGAGGGTGAGTTGTCAGCCCGAGAGCTGGCTGTTAGAAATAATGATTCAAAACGACTCTATTCCCGCGCCACTTACATGCCTGTTGCAGCCATAGCCGTGTCTATCAGGGGCCCCTTCAATCCATTTATTGCGTTGTTAGCATGTATTCCTCTTGTTTCTTCGGGTTCACAGTCTGGCATGTATCCAATGGGCAACTTGAGAATCACTTTCAGTAGATATTTCTCTGATCTCATTCAGACGCTAACATGTATCGGCATTGTTGTGTTTTTTAGAACCTCTATACCAACTAGTATTCTGAGTGTATTGCATTTGGTGTAGAAAACTTGGTGATTGTTATCGTTTTTTTTTACTTACGTGTGACGCTGAGTTGCACAGCTTTGGAGTCGCTCTTGCCCACGCCGTTGCTTGCCGCGCAGACGTAGGCTCCGGTGTTGTTCATCCGCACCCTTTTCAGCGTCACGGACGAGGCGCGGACGTCATTAGATAACGTGTGCGCCACAGACGGCAGTAAGACTCCATTTTTGGTCCATGTGATGTTGGGGGGAGGGTTGCCGTCCGCTACACACTGAAGAGTCACTCGGTCAGAAACAGTCACGGCGATCGCGTCTGATATGCTTATGATAGATGCCGGGTCTGCAAATGAAAAGGGAGATTTATTACAGGGACGCATTTGTTACAAGCTAAAGTGAAAGTCTGGATGGCGAACACCTGTTCAAAGAGTTGACAAGATAATCCCACCACTGCCAAAAGGTGCGAATGCCTACTAATAGTCCTGCCATACAGGAAACAGGAAATATATGAAAGGGCCATCCATCAAGGGTTTTGACGTCTGTGCAAAGGCTTGTGGTGGAAACGAGCATGGCCGGAGTGTCTACATTTACCCATCTAAACGTCAGCCCAGCCGCTTGTACTCCTCTTGACTGATTCGACATTTGACAGAACGCATTTCAAGCGCGGCAGATAGCGCTGACTGAGCCACAGCAATCACATTAGGTGCACCTCCAAACACCTACTCAGGCCAGGCGGAGCTTTGCTTTTATTATCTTGCCATATTCAGCTGGCCGGAAAGAGCTTGTAATTGCCCTAACACGACGTTTAGCTGGCGGCAGGCTACAGTCTTGACGACTGACGTAGGACTATCTTTAATACCATGTCGGGATTAGACCAGATCAATACACGCGACTTGCTGGCCTTATCATAAACCATCACCACCTGGTCTCGATGAATGCAGCAATTACACTTATCACGACATCACAAGAATACCCGTGCTTCCCGGTGTTACCCAAGGTGTCTGTAAGTGGTCGCGCTGCGGGGACCCGTCGTGCAGTAATGTCTGCCCCCGATCAAGATTGATGCTGTAACGTTACAAAAATGGGATGATGCGATCACAAAGTTGGTAATGCATACAACATTATCGCCGTTAAAGCTTTATTGCGCAAACTACGTGATCCGTGTAATGATGGTCATCTGAGAAGATATCTCGCACGTTGGTGTGTCTAAGCTGAATAGGCAGCTGATTTTACAGGGCACTAGGAATAGAGGGGACTTACGTCACTGGGTTTACAGTGAAGGACAGAGAGACGCCAGTTATTTTAGTAGTATTTTAACGGTATTTCTCCCAGGTGCTTAACTGCATGTGTTTTCGCTGTAAAGCGATGGCATCTCTCCTTGGTGCTGAACTGTGTATTCTACAGCCGCTAAAGTAACGATATCTTTCAACATTTCCTTGGCGCTTAACTGTACGTCTTTTAGCAGTTAAGTTACGATATTCCTCCTTGGTGATGGACCGTATGTACTATAACAGTAAAGCAACAACATCCCTCCTTAGTACTGAACTGTGTGTGGCATAGCAGTAGAGTATCTTTCATTGGCCCTAAAATATGTGCGTTTTAACAATTGAGTTTAAATTACGGCATTTCTCATCGGCACTGACTGTGTGTGCTACATCAGTAAAGCAATGGCACCTGTCCTTGGTTCTAAAGCCTGTGTTATAGCGGTAGAATAACGATATCTTTCACGCGTGCTAAAGTATGCGTGTTGTAGCAGTAAAATTATGGCGTCTCTCCTTGGTGCTGAAGTACGAGTGTTGTAATTCCTGCTCTCCAGTCGGCCGAACACTGATGAACGGCGTCGTAAAGCTATAGAAAATCCCTTTTATGTCTGTAGACGATTTCAACACTTGTGTGACTCAGCTTTCTTCATTAACCTTGTTTCAATCAAATCTGATGGAATCGTTCAGATACGCATTGCCGGTGTGTGCGTCTTGATGCAGCTAGTTAGTTCTGTATCTACGATGCATATAATGGGATTTGTGGTGTACATTCTGTTTGAAATTCAATGGATTCTACATAAAATGAATCCATTTTCGATCACACTTAACGATTTTTTTGTTGATTGAAGTAAAATGCATACCTACATACCTGTCTTTACAAAGCCATAAGCGTTGAGTGTGAATATAAATAAAAGTGCAGTTGCTTTTCAAGTATAGTATCCAGATTATGGATTGACATATATAGCCATGGGCGCATTTATATATGTAGAGAGAAAACCCGTCGGAAAAATATGCAAATTACTACATAGGAAGACAAAGGACAAAGCTTTGCAGCAATGTCACCGCCGTGCGTGTCAAATCGATTTGGTAGACTCAAGTTGACATATGCTCTTCATTTGCATACCTAACGAAGTGGTTGGCGCGGAGATATTGGAAGATTCGTCAGAAGCGGAAATGCAGCCAGATAAGGGGTCAAACGGTTGGGACAATGTAATCTAATTAACGATGGTGTTGATTTTGCTTGCTAACGGTGTTGGTCACAATGGTTAAACAAAAAGGCGATTTGCTCCTCCCAATCTGTTCTACATTCGTTCTACATTCGTTTAGGTATGTTTGCCATAAATGAAAAAAGAAAGGGGAGTATATAGCTAAGCCAATAACGAGTAACGACCAGGCTATGGCGTTCATCTTTTTCACGAAGATTGACCGGACCTATCTGTTTAGGGGCTAGCTAACACCATGCATGGCGGGAAGGTATCAGAAAGGAATTTTTATGGACCCATTAAACCCAAGCGCTGACTTCCACACCTCCTCTGGGTGTACTTCACCAGTGAGACAAATGATTGACATCATCGTCAATGGACAGACGTAAATAATACAACAGGAACTGCTCTGCAGTTTGTAGATTATTGATGCGCCGTCGAAACCAATGTTTTTCCAGGCGTGGGTAAGACACTGCTGCGTTAATGCGATTACGGTTGACGAATCAGAGAGCCTGCAAATCAGAGGGCCTGCTCGTATAGAAGAAATGACTGTTAGTGTTAATGACCTTGCGGCAAGAGAATGTTTGTACTTACATAGGACTTTTAGCTGTACACTTGAAGTGACTGGTCTGACCACGTGATTTACCACGCATGTGTAACTGCCCGTGTCTGCTCTGGTCACGTGACGTACGGTTAAAGATGGCGACGCCAGGGTTCCCCCAGAGTACTTGGAGCTCACGCCAATGCTCTGAACGGGGATGCCGTCTTTTTCCCAGTGTAAGGCGGAGATATTAGGCCGTGCCTCGCTTATTGTGCACTTGAATGTCACTGACTTTCCCCAGCTGCTAACCACAGGACTGGACGGTCCAACCTTCACGACTGGAGGCACTGCAAAATCGAATACATTTTTAGTCACTGAACATGTTCCAATATACAGTACAGAGGGCAATGCCTGTAGGTGTTAACGATTAAATGATATGTCCGATGGGTTATGATATATTTATGAGCCACGTCTGACCTAGTTCTGCTTGATATGGGACGGCACCCCAGGTTATACACAGATACAGCTTTATATTGCCTTATCAA